GGGTGCTGGTTTCTCCCTTACTGCAGATGGTGGCTGGCCCTGGCCTTGGTGCTGTCTCCTGTGTGTGGCTGGGGACAGCGGAAGCTGGGCCGGGCCTTTCCAGGTGTCGGGCATCCAGGCGAGTTACAAGAGACACTGCTTGCTTTTGCGAGAACTCATCACCACTTGTATCGTAGTCTGCTGTTGAGAATGTTGTACTACAGTTCGCAGGAATTTAGTAACTAAAGAATGTTCATGTGTGAGGGCACTCTAGGAATTCACCAGTGTCTTGGATTCTTTTTATTTAGTGAGAGAGACCAGATGACGTCTTAGCCCGTTGCTGAGTGACACGGGGGAACGTGTTACCCCGTTGTTGAGAGACACCGGAGAACATGGTAGCCTATTGTTGAGAGAGACCGGGGGACACGCTAGCCTGTTGTTGAGGGAGACCGGGGGACACGCTAGCCTGTTGTTGAGGGAGACCGGGGGACACGCTAGCCTGTTGTTGAGGGATACCAGGGGACACGCTAGCCTATTGTTGAGAGAGAACGGGGGACACTCTAGCCTGTTGCCGAGAGAGACTGGGGGATATGCCAGCCTGTTGCCGAGAGAGACTGGGGGACACGCCAGCCCATTGTTGAGGGATACCAGGGGACACGCTTGCCTGTTGTTTTAGGGAGACCGGGGGACATGGTAGCCTGTTGCTGAGAGCGGTTAGTTATTTCCCAGATCTTCGTCCTGCATCGCTGCACAGCAGCTCTTCTGGTTTAGGTTCTGGCCTTTCCCGCTGGGGTTTTCCAGCAGTCTCTGTAGCGGTCTTCGTTGTTTAGCGCTTCCTCGTTCATCCCCACATTCTCCATCCCGCTGCCGTTGGAGTCTGGTCACATAGCCGCGGCTGCAGGTGATGCGGGGGTGCCCTTCGCCTACAGGACGAGATTTCAGCTGCTCCCAGGTTTATTGTTGTGGAACAACGAACCCCACAGCTGGTGGCGTCAGTGACAGCCGCACTCTTGCGTGGACCGACTCTGTGGCCTCGCAGGGTGGGGTGCAGGGGGTGGTTTGTTACTGCCCTTCGATGCCTGGGCCTCTGCCGAGAAGACCACATGGCAGGTGCCTGGAAGGGCTGTGGGTGCGGCGGAGGCCCTCGACTGAAGCTGGCCCTTCCTGCGTGGCAGTCGGCTTCCCGGAGGGAGTGTCTCGAGGGGCGGTGTCTGGAGAGAGCCTGAAAGAGGGTGCCGGGCTTCCGACCTGAGTTTGGAGGTCACTGGCATTGCTCCTGCCTGCCTCTGTTGGTTGTGGCAGTTG